CTGCCCGCCGGAGGACAGCGCTGAGGAGAAGGGCTCCCACTGCGACCTGGCCTTCGAGGACATCATGCCAGCGGTGAAGACCCTCATCCGCGCTGTCAGGTGAGAGCATCCCCCCCCATATCCCCCAGCTCCTGTCTCCTGCTCCTCTGCACCCCTTGGGGACAAGCCCTGGTCCAGCCCATGGAGGTGACAGAGAGCAGGCACCTGGCTCAGCCCCATATGGGGATAGAGGGCTCCCACTGCGACCTGGCCTTCGAGGACATCATGCCAGCGGTGAAGACCCTCATCCGCGCTGTCAGGTGAGAGCATCCCCCCCCATATCCCCCAGCTCCTGTCTCCTGCTCCTCTGCACCCCTTGGGGACAAGCCCTGGTCCAGCCCATGGAGGTGACAGAGAGCAGGCACCTGGCTCAGCCCCATATGGGGATAGTGATCAAAACCTCGGTGCTTTACCCGAGCCTTCGATCCCCCAGTGCCCCCCATCCTCCCCAGCACCCTGCAGCCATCCCGGGTGTCCCTGCAGGATCCTGAAGTTCCTGGTGGCCAAGAGGAAGTTCAAGGAGACTTTGCGTCCCTACGACGTCAAGGACGTCATCGAGCAGTACTCGGCCGGACACCTGGACATGCTGGGCAGGATCAAGAGCCTGCAGATGCGGTGAGCTGTCCTGACAGTGGTGGGGAGCTCTGGGCTAGCTGAGGTCTCCATCACTAGCCATGCCCATGGGGAGCGGTGCTGGCCCATTGTGATGACTGGGACAGGTCCCACGAGCCCCCCAGTCCACTGAAAGTGATGGGCCATGTCCCCTTCCTCCCTGTTGGCCGCCAGCGTGGACCAGATCATGGGCAAGGGGGCCCTCACGGCGGACAAGAAGACACGGGAAAAAGGGGAGAAGCCGGCGCTGGAGATGGAGCTGGTGGACGAGCTCAGCATGATGGGGCGCGTGGTCAAGGTGGAGAGGCAGGTCAGGAGGGGACGGCCACCAGGACGCGTGTCACCGTCCCTTTGGTGGGGAAGGGATGCTCAGCTCTGTCCCTGCTCGCAGGTGCAGTCCATCGAGCACAAGCTGGACCTGCTGCTCGGCATCTACTCCCAGTGCCTCCGCAAGGGCTCCACGAACTCCTTCAGCCTGGCGGCCGTGCAGGTGCCCCCCGGCGAGCCCGACATCACCTCCGACTACCACAGCCCCGTGGACCACGAGGACATCTCGGTCTCGGCCCAGACCCTCAACATCTCCAGGTCGGCCAGCACCAACATAGACTGAGCAGGGAGGCAGCGGGATGGATCCCACCAGCATGGAGCCGGTGGGACGGGATGCCGGGATGCGGGAGCAGCGTGGGGACCAGCGTGGCATCGCGGCCCCATTGAGCCACGTCCCTCGCCGTCTTACTTGAACCTGGTCTTCCTTTGGGGGGGCACAGCTGCAATGGGGTGGGAGCCTGTGGCACCATGGCATGGCCAGACCACGCTCCTGGGATGCTCCTGCCCTTCCTGAGGGGTGAGATTCCCCCAGCTCCTGAGGTCTTGAGTGCTCCCCAGCCATGGGGGTACCCCCCAGCCCTCAGCACAGGTTCAGCTCCCCAGTGGGGTCCTGAGGGGGACCCCAGGGGGCACCGCCAGCTATGCAAGGCTCCATCTCCCTCCTGCTGCTGCTGCCGAGCAGGGGCATGGGGCACAACCCGGGGTGGTTTCACCTGTGTTGCTCCAGGTCAGGGCAGCAATGGAACCCACCCTGGGTGAGGGATTGGGGTCTCTCCCCCCTCGCCCTCCTCTGCCTGGGTCCTTTCCTTGCCTGCAGCGCTGCAGTTGTGGCTGCACCTCTAGAAGCACAGCAGAGCCTTCTGCCTGCCCGTGCATGCTCCCAGGGCAATATATATATAGGAGAGATAGATATATATATATTTATGCAATAATGTCTTAATATGCAACTCCCCCGGGAAGAGCAACCCGTGGGGCCATAGGCAATAAGCAAACCCCCCTACCAGCACACAGGGCTGGATCCTGCGGCCTGAGGGGGCCCATAGGGGTGACAAACCCCCACCCTGACAGTGGGGCCGTGGGGCTGGGTAGGGGCTGCAGCAGATGGAGGGATGCGGGCACAGGCGATGGGGATGGTAGTACCCAAGGAGCATCCCTCCCTCTCATGTCCTAGCCCCTGCTCTTGCTCCTTCCTTGCCGGGTCCTGCAGTGCTCAGTTTGTCCCTTCCCATGTCCCTGTCCCTTCCATGGCCTGGGGAGCATGGGCTGGGCCTGGGGGGTGACAGCCCGGTGGGGACAGAGGGGGGCTGTGCCTTGTTGCATGCCCCACAGCAGTTCCTGCGCTGCCCTTTTTTTGCTGCCCCTACCCCATCCTGAGGGCCGTTTTCCAGTCCCAGGGGCCAGTTTCCAGTTCCAGGGCCAGTTTCCAGTCCCGCAGCACTGGGCTGAGCCAGGCTGGAGGCGATGGTAGTGCCAAAGTTTGCCGATGCTGTGCAGCTG